GCGGCTCTCCAGCGGACCAGGGGCACCGGAGCAGCTTACGAACGGGGCTTTCTCGCCCCGGAGCTCGCAGGTAGCAATCCGCCACCTCGATCTCCGGGGCGAGAAAGCCCCGTTCGTAAGTGCGGATCCGACATAAGTCGGATCTGCGTAAGTCGGGGACTGCCTGTAAATGACAACATTCTCATCATCCATTACAATTCTGTTTGGCCAGCTTTCTGATGCAATTGACAAGGCAGAATCTAGAAATAACGCAAGTAAAGCCTATAATGCACTACTTCTGTAACACAAATTCCTTACCTCATGATGATTTTTACACTCCCTTCTCCCACTCAGATAGACACAGAATGGAAAATATTAAGAAAAACTTAATATTTTACTCTTGCTCAGAAATCGTTTATAACTGCATGGAACTCTGAGGCAGCAAAGAAGTTGCCTTGTTGACTCAATTCACAGCTGTTGTGAGATAACCATCTCTTTGTGTACATAGGGTATAAGTATGATATTACTCCTGAACATATTTACAGTAGGAGAGAAATTATTTTCCAGTGCTTCTGGGTTAATTAGTTTCTACTTAATTACACTTTAACATAATAATGCATATGTTCTAGCTTTTCTTTTTGCCAGTTAACACTTAGTAGCCAGTGTAATCAGGAGGTCTAAATGCTCATATTTTTATTATCTCTTAATGATCATTATTAATAACAGCAATAAACCTAGAATCATGAATTTTCTCTCCTTGTCCATAAAATGACTTTGCTACATGTAAACAAACAAATCCAGTTTGCCTTGAGCATCATTTTGCTATTCTTTCTGTTTCCTACCCAGACTCCACTACTTTGTCTAAGGAGACTTGGAGTTGCAAATAATAACAATGTATGTGTATAGGGGTTGGAGGGTGGTCATAATTTTGGAAGGACAAATCAAGGCTTTGTGACTCAGATGTGCTGTTCAGCATAGGATGAATAGATGTCCTGATTTTATAGGGATAGTCCCACTATTTGGATCTTTGGATGTTAAATTGGTACTTATTCCCCCTTGGCCCCAGTTCTGATTTTTCACACTAGCTCTCTGATCACCCCAGGTTAGGAATGGGGAAATACATAGAGAAATCTGAGCACATTGCCTGGGATGCTTGGCCTATCCTTAAACAAAACTATTTTGGTGTGTCTTTGGTAGAGATACTGTAAACTGAATTAAGAAAAGCCGGGGAAATTTCACAAGCATAGTTGGAAGGTTTATGTTTCTTATTTCTTGTTAACAGTAATGCAGTTTAGGTTATTAAGGCAGGGGAAATCCTCTCATGCTAGGATTGTCAGCTCTGACTGAAGTTATTCTGGAAGACTTCCCCCCTCACATGACACAATGTTATTTTCTTAAAATATCCTATTCAATCTCCAGGATTGCTTCAATAGTCACTAGGAGATTGGTGCTGATTCTGGGAGACTCCAGGCCAGTCCTGGAGGTTTGGCAACCCTATCTCATGCAGAGTTTTAAGTTTCTTAAAATAGGTTGAAATTATGAAACTGGTGAGTGATACATTTGTGAAATATTTTACCATTGAATATAGTATTTTCATTTTTTTGAAACTATCCTCTCCCTTATTTTAAACAGTGTTTTCTTTGTAAAATATGCCAAATGTTGGAAGCATATGCATATGTATAGTGCATGAAATGGCCAATTTCTGTCCTATGATATGTAGATACAGTGGGCAAGCTGGGGTACAAAGACATACCTTTCCTGACCTGTAGGCTGGTGATGCTAGTAACAAGCCTGTTGCTGCCTTAAGAAGGTTGGGTTGTATTTTTGTGTGGTTATTTTCTTTTCTCTTTCTGGATGTACGTTGTCATCAATGGCTGGTGCATGATGTTCTTTTTTTTTTTAAAAGATAGGGAAGATCTTGCAAAAGTATGTACTGCTCTCTCTCTGCAGTGGCATTTTTCTGCCATCTAATGGATATAGGGATGCCCCCATTTTGTACTGGTGCCAAGAAATGGATGGATGGCAAACGGATGCAAACTGTTTGAAAGGCTGATGGTGCACTGCTCAAAGTCTGCTTGACTTTGCACTGGATACACACAACCCAGCTTGATTTGAGATAATCTTTCACTGGGAATGGCATACTTTCACAGAAGTGGCAATGATGTCAAAACCTACAAAATACACAGTTTTTCTTTTTAATATTGGATAGTCCACGATGTGCATATATAATCTTCTACACATCATTAGAAAATAGATTGTCAGATCTAACATCTTATTCTCAAGCAAACCAAGTCTCATGAGGCCACATGTCTGACTAACGGATCTAAAGCTACATCATGTAGGCATATTTTTAATGGAGCCAGGGAGGTTGCAAACTAACAATGAAGTGCTTAGTGCAAGATTTCAGTTCTCAACTTTATAGCTATAACATTTTCATCTGATGCAGACCAAAGATTCTGCTGATCCTAAGGCCTGGTCTACACTAGGAGTTTACACTGAATTTAACTGCATATGGTCAATTTTCTAAATGACGAGTCCACACTACAAAGCCTGTCTCTGACCTTAAGAGACACTGAAATCAATGTTGGTTACTCCTGATTTCATGGGGAATAATACTATTCCTGACCTTGCCTGGTTGAGTTTATGATAGTGTAGATGCAGTGTTGGTGAAAGTCAAGGCTATAGACTTCCAGGAGGCATCCAACAATCCCCCAGTCTGACTACTCTGGTCAAAATTTGTGCCTCTACTGCTCTATAGGTTAATAGGAAAAGCCCCAAGAAAGTCTGAATTTCATTTCCTCTGTGGCCAGTGTTGCAAACACATTTCAGAGTGAGCAGCATACCACACTGCAGCACACGTGGCCATGATTTCTAATACTTCAATAATTTCAAATACTTCAAGACCCATGGGCTCCAGTTTGTAAAAGAGCAAAAGAGCACCAGTGTGGAGTGTCTGGGAGATCTGGGACCTCACTGAGGCATTGGGAGAGGAATCCATTCTCTCTGAGCTCCAAACCAGAAAACAAAATGAGACATTTATGCGAAGATCATAAATTGCCTGCTGGCCAAAGGATATTCCAGGGACTCCCATCAGTGCAGAGTCAAAATAAAGAAGCTGAGGCAGCCCTACCACAAGGCAAGGGAGGAGAATGGAAGGTCTGGTGCAGCACCACACACATGCCAGTTCTGCCAACAGCTGGATGTGATTGTGGGGAAGGGTGATGACCAGCTTCCCAAGCCTGACCATAGAGTCTGTCCAAGACACTCCTGGCATCAGTGTGGAGGGCAGTGTGGTGGGGAAGCAGGGGGAGGGGGAGGAGAAGGAGAATGGCCAGTCAGTGATCTGTGAGAGCCAAGAACTATTTATTATGCTGGAACCATTCCCCTCCTGCCAGGATGTCTCCCAGTTGAGCACCGACCCCAGGGAGAGCACTTCTGGTGAGTTCACAGATTTTTTCTTGCTACATGTGGGTTAAGGCAGTTGGGTGTGATATGTGGTATGCTCTGTGCCCACACTACATGGGGCTCTCACATAGGAACTCTTTTATCCTTCTCACAAGGTTTTGAGGGAGGCAGCCTTATTCTGTCCTCCACAGTAGGACACCTGCCCACTCCAAGCCACCAGTAAGTGACCTGACATCACTGAATCACAAAGCAGTGCAGCACAAGGCCAGGTTTCTGACAACATTCAGTCAGTATCCACTCCTGATAGTTCTGTGTGATTCAGAGAAGATTGATATCTCTCGTGGCAACCTGGATGAAGGAGGAGAGGAAACTATTAGCACTCTCCCTGAGAAGCTGAATGTGCTGGACACAGATCCCTTCCCAGACACCTCCTCTCAGTGCTAGGAAAGAAGCACTGTCTTGGGAAGTTGTATGTGCTGGATATCACCCTGTCTCTCTGGCATGGCCGGACCTGTCCTCCACTCCTGCCTGCAGGCTCCTGCCCTTGCAAGCCCTTTACCATGCCTGCGGGCTTCCAAACTGCATGAGTCCAGATAATTCCCTGAGAACCCTGTGTACCTTCTGGTACAGTGGCCGCTTTAAAGCAAACATTTGGCTTACACAGAACACATCTCTATCATCTTTACAGAGACCTTCACTATAACAGATTTGGGGTAGGTTTAATACAATGTATCTCCTGTAATATGTGCCCTTGTAACTTTTCATTACAGCAGGAACAGCAGCCAGGTTGCTGTGCACTTCCATGGCTCCAACATCTATCCACCTGGCACAGATCCGCAGGTAAAAATGGACAAGGGAGGATATTTTCAAGGATCAAATGGATGGCATGAATGAGGAGGAGGAGATGCGGGGCACAGCATCGGGACAGGATCACAGAATGCCAGGAGAGAAGAGCTTGCAGGGAGCTGCAGGCGAGGCAACAGGGCAGCATCTTTGTCTCCCTGATGACAGTGATGGAGTACCTGGCTGCATGGCTGGAGAAGGACTCCTCCCAGAACCCCATCCACCCCAAGCAAAATAACTTTCCTTTTCCCCCCAGCTCTGTAGGATCCACCCCCAGGGTTCCCTGGATCCACCAGGGCTCCAGGACATGGGGCGAGGAGACTCAACCTTAATCTCCAGGACCTCAGGAGGAAAAAGGCTGTCCTTCATGTGTTTCTGACCCCTTTCCCCCTTTGGGTTTCCTGTTATTTTCCCTAAATAAAAGTGCATAATCTCTGAACAACAGGCTCTTTATTGCTTGTACTGCAGGGGTAGGGTGGAGGATTAAAGTTAACACAGGGAATGCTGGAGCATCATGTTGAGAGCAACGTGCATGAGTCTCAAAACTGGCCATTAATAAAACTGTCCTTCAAAGCCTCTCTGCTTTGTGCTGCCCCTGCCTGTGTTCTACTTATCATCCTGGTGCCTGGCTGCTCAAAGTCTCTAGCTAGGCGTTCTGCCTCAGCTTCCCACCCTGCCAGATAACTTCCCCCCATACTCTCACAAAAATTATGGCGCACACAACAGGCTGACACCACAAAGAGAAAGTTACATTCACTGAGGTTCAACCTAGTCATGAGAGTCCTGAATCTATCCTTCAAATGTCCAAAAGCATATTCAACCACCATTCTACACTTGCTCAGCCTGCAGTTGAGACACTCCTTACTGGGGTCCAGGCGGCTGGTGTACAGCTTCTTGAGCCATGGAATCAAGGAGCAGGCTGGATCATAAAGGATTATAAATGGCATTTCTGAAGATGTGCGTGTCACCTTTCCTGACCATCTCATGTTGATGTCAGTGAAACGTCCCTTGTGTTCCTCCAGCACCTGCAGCACCATGGAGAATTACCTCTTGCAGTTTATGTACTCATTGGCAAGGTGGTCTGGGGCCAAGATGGGAACGTGCGCTCCATCTAGCGCTCTACCACAGTTAGGAAAGTCCATCATGGCAAAGCCATCTACTATAGTTTCCACATTTTCCAGAGTCACAATCCTCCATAACAGAATGGTATTGATTACCATGGCTACTTGTATAACAGCCTGCACTGTAGATTTCCCCACTCTGAACTGATTCCCAACTGACCAGTAGCTGTCTGGCATTGCAAGCTTCCAGAGAGCTATTGCTTCTCCATGGTCAGAGCAGGTCTCATTCGGATGTCCTTGTCCTTCAGGGTGAGGGAAAACCATTCGCAAAGTTCCAAGAAAGTGGCCTTGTGCATTTGGGAGTTTGGCAGCCACAGCTGACCATCCTATCTCTATATCACAATGTGGTGCCACCAGTCTGTGTTTGTCTCATGGCACCAGAAGCAGCATTTTTCTGTGTCCACAGGGTTGGCTGGTGGCCGCATTTGCATCAGCACCAGAGCTTGCATGAGCAGTGACTCAATGTCAAGCAGAGATTCATCCTCGTCCTCTTCCTGGCAGAGCAACATGCATACACTCTCAAAGTACTTAGATACACTGAGGAAGACATCAATATCACAATGGTTTGCTGCAAAATGGGATCCATGCTTGTGTTGCTATAGCATCGGTGTGGGCAACCAGAGCAGAGATGGGGGTGTGAAAAGACTCCTTCGCGTTGATCTCAAACAAGGGGTGAAGGACTAGACAACTGTATTATGGGATGCTGATGACATGAACCCATAACTACCTGCTGCACAGTTTTGGTCCTAGCGGACACTAGAAACATAGCCTAGAATGCAAAGCTACTCACTGTGCATCTCTCTCTGGGTTGATGAAAGGCTCCCTAATGGGCAGGGCTCGCTGAACTGCAGTGAGCCCCGCTTGCCAGCAGCGCTGTCCGGTGATCTGCGCATGCGCAAATCGTTCTGCACATGCGAAGATCGCCTGAACCCAGCTCTTGCAGGTTATAATCTACTCGCCACGAGCGAGTAGATTGTATTATTTGTCGAGCCCTGCTAATGGGGATGCTCTGTTTTGAGCTATATTGGATTCTTCCCCACAGTGAAGACATGCAAAATCAGGTGATCAGATATTGACCTTAAAAGTTCAATCTTATCTCATAGTGTGGACATGGCCTAAGCTAATGAATGCTGAAAAATAAATGGCTTGTTTCTTTCCCCTTTTAAAAAGCAGGTGGTGGTTGTTTAAAATTATTAGGGATCTAAAGCTGGCCATGATCCAACATATGCCATGTAGCCTAGGTCTTCAGCTCCATAGTGAGAAGCCAGACACCCAAATATTTGATCAGAGCATACATAAATCTTCCAGCTTTTCTGGCATAGGCTGAATTGGGGATGACAATATAGATTACAATGTTCTTTCAAAATCAAAGGTATTTTATTTCTGGAAGAAGAAAAACCTGTCAAACCTGTCTCTGGCAAGGAAAATTCCACAAGGATCCAAATTAAGAATAAAACAAAGAAAAGGGCAATTCACAGCAGTGCAGAGACACTGTCTCTTGTACAGTTTTACTGTTGTGTATTCGATTGTCTATGTGAGTCTTGTATATTGTCTGTTATTGTTCATCAAAGGCCAGATAACAATGGGGAATATTAGAGGAGAGGAAGAAGAGAGAAGAAGAAAGGGGGTGTGTATGTGGCAAAAGAGAGACTAAGGAATATTGCTATTTAAGGTACACTTGGTACCATTTTTAATTATTATAGTCCTTAAGTAGGATGGTGATGGTGCCATAATTAGAATTTTAAGAACATTGACTTCAGGGGAACTATATTGATTTGCACCAGCGAAGGATCTGAGTATTCTAAAAATACCATTTCCAGGGGATTTTCTTTCAATGTAATTTCCATTTAATAACGTTCCTGTAGGAGGAAAAAAGCTTCCTGTATAACAGGAAGAATTTTAAAGGGCCAAGATTTTGTGGAGGGGATTTTTTTTGTTGATTCTTTGTCAAATTCAGCTGAGGGTATTAATGCAGAATGTAGGTCATCTTTACTCTTGTTTAATGTGGCAACTGGAGTATCTATTCTTTACTATTTGATTTTCAGATTACCACTCTTAAACAAGTGTTGGTTCATGATGGGGTAAAACCACACACAGTGATTTTTGTGAACTCAAATTATGAGATGGGCCCAGTTTGCAAAATTAGGGCTTAGCTTTTTACTGATCCCAAAGTTGTGAGTATATGCAGAAGCGGAGTTTTCATGGGCGACCAACTACCTGAAATAAGTGATTATATGTTTTAATAATACATCTTGTACTCCAACATTAAATACAAATTCACAAGTTAATAACATTGGTAACAACAAAGTATGTACAAACTGTTTTATCTTAGTCAGACTATCAGTGTTTTTATTATTGATAGTCAGTAATGCAAAGCTAGGGGTCAGCCCCAAGACATTTTAAAAACCAGTTTTAATGGATTTAAAATATAGTGCCTACATGTTAAAGTTATGTAATTTTTTAAAAAAATCTTTAGTTATGGGTTGGTGTGTAATATTTTTAGGAATGTGGATGAATCAGAAGAGGGGATTATTATTATGGTTTTGAGGAAAGAAAAAGGAGCCAAGACCATATTTTAGCTTCCCAACCCATTGATGCACTAGGGTGATACACAGGAACACACTCTGTGAGGGGTTTTTTTTTCTGAAGAAGGCTCAATGGTTGGAAAAACACAAAAGGTGTGGACCTGTGGTAGGTTGCACAATGCATTCCCTCTTCTCTTGCACTGAGACATAGGTCCCTTCTGCCCCCAGCGGTATGTCTCCCACCTGCATCTCCCAAGAGGATAGAGCACTGAAGTAATGTGAAGCTCATATAAGCATCAGAGTGTTCAGAGCTCTATCTAAAGTGGTCTATAATGAAATGCAAGACTGAGTTAAATTGAAACTAAAATGGAAACAACAATCTTGTATCCCTTTTTATTCCTCTGTTAAGTGTTGGTAGTTGTCTCTTATTTACTGTCATCTTTCATGCTGTCCTGTCTGGGCTATGGGTAAAATGACACTGGTTTCTAGACAGAAGAGATACTTGTTAATCTCTGGTACTTTGCATGTTCCATTATAATGCATGGTATAGTAATTATTTTTATAACATGTAAAAGCAGTGCTGAAAGAGGAGACTCTAAACAGGTAAAGGTATAATGTAGTATGTGAGCATTTTAATGCAGTGGTTTTCAAACTAGGGATCGCAACCCAGTACTGGGTCCTGGAATGTCAATCACTGGGTCTTGTTGCTGCATGGTGACCAGTGGGGGCGCCAAAGCAGGATTCCAGCCCATCCTGGCACGACAGACTGCACTGTGTTCCAAAAGCGACCAGCAGCAAGCCTGGCTCTTGCGGGAGGAGGGAAAGAATGCGCAGGGCTCTGTGCACTGCCCCTGCCCTGAGCAATAACCACTGCACTCCCATTGGCTAGGAATCTGCTGCTGGCTGCTTCTGTGGTGCAGCATAGTCTGTGGTGCCAGGGCAGGCAGGAAGTCTACCTTAGCTCGCCCACTCTATCCAGAGCCAGCCAAAGCTACGGGCTGACCGGGCTACCGCCCAGGGTGCCCCATTTAGGGGGTGCTGTGTGGGGCTGCCAGGCTGAGTGGGGGTGGCACTGCGCATGCTTTGCATGCCCGGAGCGGGGCCACGCATGCGCCGCGTGCCTGGGGGTGGGGCCACACATGTGTTGCACTTTCAGGAGTGGCGCCGCGCTCCCAGGGCCCGGGGTGCACGAATGACTTGGGCCGGCCCTGACTCTATCACTGGCCAAGAGCCACTCGAGGTAAGCCCCTCCTGATCCAGCCCTGACCCCCCACCAATGCCTAAGTCCTCTCCTACAGCCCAAAATTCATCCTCAGCCCCATCATGGAGCCCACACTCTAGTCAAACTATGTTGGGTCACGGACATCCAA